CTATTGATCTATACAATTTAGGACAAAATGCAAACTTTTCAAGCAAATAGATCGTTATTATATTAATTTATTAATAATTTTCTGTTTTCACTCATTTCACTGAAAAGAATTACAATGACAAAAAACATGAAACAAGATAAATATTGTATTTCAAGTATATTTTTGACTTCTATTATGTAAGTTTTGACAGAATCGAACGAGAGACAATTTTGTGTAAAAAAAATTACAAATGATTTCTAATAAGTAGAGTACAGTCATTAAAAGTCAAATATAAAAATGTAAAGTAAGTATAATTTACATTCAGATAGTACAAAATAAAATTGAACATTATTGTATGATACAGAAATATTTCAACGTTTAGGATCTATGTTGTAGTCCATTTTACAAATGTTTCACAGACACATAGAAAGGATACATTTCTGTCGTTGTAAGTGATAATAGCATTTTCAACGGATAGCTAAACATTGGCTAACTAAACTCTGATCTAGGGTTGTAATATACTGATAGAATAATATTCTTACTGATACGTTTATGCTTTTAAGGTTATTCTAAAAGTGGTATCACGTTCCGTGTTTTCTTTAAGTGGAAATACGTGACTTTATTTGTTTTGTATGTTGAAATAAACAGTTTGCATTTATAGATATTCAAGTGGGACGCCATTATAGATACAGAAATTAACTTACTAGTTTGTGAATAAATATTCAATTATCTTCACAACGTCTACTACAGATACTACACCCTTTGCATAAAGTGCTGGTTAGTGTTGCTCTGTAATGTTTTTGTAAGCAACACAGTTATAGCTCATTAAAAATGATATAAAAGCAATAATACTTATACTAATTGCTTTAATGATTTTTACTGTTGCATGAACAGGGTTTCAAAAGCGGTCATTTTTAAAGGGCTATTTTGTAAAGTTTTCATTAAATATCTTGAAAATTAAGTTCAGGACTTCTTAATATCTAACGGTGATATTTGAAACATATGTTGATTATTCATGTTATCGATAACAAACACGCTTTTCTCAAAAAAAATTTGCTATACATAATAAGTACTTCTGTTCCGATGCACCAGTAAGTAAACTTATCCTACTGAACACAAAAATTTATATTACCAAGAATATATTTTTATTTAGTTTTCACAACAAAATCACTAACTAATACATGCTACACACTCATGTAACCATTGTACATTGAAAATTCTCATAAACATTTTAAGTCAATAAGTATAGCACTTAACGCCAACAGTGATATCGTTTATGAATAACTGGTTCATTGAAGTCAGTCGCTTTTGTGTTTATTTCTTCTAAGTATTTAATAAAATAGTTTACTCTTTTATTACAAATAGAATATAGCACACAAATAAGTTACTCGATTCAATACTGAACAACCGATTTGTGTTGTGAACATTTAAATGATGTATATTTAAAAATTGTTTAAGTAGAAGTGAATATTGCCTCAAGGAGTTAGTTTATAATTCATCGATTTACGCAATCGTTTTTTCTTTTTTCTTTCCTTTTTTTTCTGTAACAAAATAATTATGTTTACTTCGCCAAAACACGTTAAATAGTATCGAAATTGACGTGGTTTGTTTTAAGAACTTCCCTAATACTAATCACAATGTCCGTCATAATAATTGCTTTAGATTTGTTGATATCTTGACTATTTGTTACATATTTAATAAAATATAACATTAACAATAAATTAATCTTGTTTTTCTCTTTTCAAAAAAAAAAAATAACAAACGAAAATCAAATGAGTCGTTGTGTTTAAATGAATAAATTAATTTGACTAAAATTACAAAGTAACTGATGTTTTGAGTTAGGGAAATAAATAGAAAATGTATCATGAACCTTTTCAATACGCAAAAGTAAAAGAAAACACTTCCCTTATTACAAATGTAACAATAGAGGTCTAACGTAATGGCAAATTATTCAACGTAAACAATTTTAAATTTTTTCTTAATATTCTATTTTTATGTTTAAAAATAGTTGTTAATTAATCATATTGTGTTTTTCAATTTTCAATTGATATCTGCTTCGTTCTTGACTTAGATATGAAAATGACGTTTAACAGAAATATAACCATCGTATTAATATATGACTTAAATTTGATGATAAGCTAAGTGTTTTATTGGATTAAACGGTCTTAGTTAAACACATTGATGATTTCACAAAAGAGGTTTTGTGGATAGTTGAGATCATGAGTAAATTGAAGCTAGACCATCATGAAAAACCTGGAAACACAAGAAGAGACTATTGAAAGTGTAAAAGTAATTTTCTTGCTGTTAATAAATTATGAAATAGAAATTTGTCTGTTTGGGTAGCGCAATTTTTTTAGCATCAGAAGTGAATTTTTAGTTATTTTGTTAAATAATTTAACTAATATTTACTGCAAAGTATTATATATCGATTATGAGCTGTATCGTAACTTCATAAAATATGGACAATGCCTGGGACCCCTTCTGATACTAATCAACATATGCTGACTAGTGACTGGCTTCAAGAGGTATTTCCCTGGAGTTCTAATGAGAAGCAGTCACCAGTGGAGTTCAACCAGGTCTGTTGTGAGATAGTAACTCACTAAAGGCAATGGTGGATATGTCGCTCAATTTTGTGATTTAGTTGAAGTTAGACATTAACACCGTTGGATGCCAGCTCAGTGGACCATAGGTTAACTGTTCGCGTGCGAGAGCGATAGGTCCTGGTTTGGAATCTTTCGGGGCGGGATCGTGGATGCGCACCGCTAAGGAGTCCCATAATAGGACGAAATGGCCTTCCAGTGCTTCCAGGTTTTCCGTGTCTGTCTAGCTTCAATTGACTCATGATCTCAACTATTAAAAATGAAATTAGCAACCAATTCTTGGAAACTTATTCTATTATGACAAAACCGTTTACTCTAATTGTTAAGTAAAATAAGGATTGAAACACGTATGGTAACAGAATATAAGTACAAAAAATTCTATTATCTAATTAGATAGTGAAGAATACAAAGAGGCGGAAAATTACAAACAAATAATGGATGTGGAAATAAGGTTAATGATAACAAAATATTATTTTTATAGACTTATTCTATTTCATTGTGATTATTGACCAATATTGCCTTGATTGGTTTACATTTTCGTATAAATATTCATGTATATTAGAGTAAAGCCTGATGACGATCTAACTGAAAACAATTGTTTGCTTATATGTGTTGTTCTAATTTTCACAATGGGAATTGGACAATTATCTGACCCTTATATGTATTTTCTTACCCCTTGATTATTACGTAACCTTATCTGGTAATATGAGTCTTAAATCAATTTATGATGCAATCATTTCTGTCCTTCTATGGATATATATTTTCCATATAACTATAAATACGAATGTACTGATTAAGTAAATGATTTCGTCAAAAAGAAAATTTTCCTCTCTGATTTCTGTTTATTTTTGTTCAATGACACAGTGGGTTATTTTATTTGATGATTAGACCTGTATTTGTTCACATGTAAATGTAAATGGTTCATTGATAAATATTCAGTTAGTCAAGCGAAAATAAGTGCAAGGCAGTCAATAGGATCAAGATGCCATGTGTGTATGATAGGCTTGATATTTGTCCAAAGAGAAATAAATTTGTATATTTGTATAGATCGAAGGGCTTGGTACAGTATTACGCAAAACTTGTGTCTCTTCCGCAACTGTATCCGGAGCGTTTGACATGGTTGTCTGACAGCAAATGTTCAACAACATGTTTTTTTCATATCCAAAAAGAACAAAATTTAGGGGGTTTATGTATTTCTCTATTCAAATACATTTCTTGCATAAGTTTACTTTTAGCAACATATCTATTTTCTTTGTAATTAAAATATCTGGAAAATTTTTTCTACCTCCCGTTTTGTCCTTCCATGTGAACTTTAAAGTTGGATAGAGTTCTCTAAATATCTCGAGAATCTCTAAATAGCCAGGATAATCTTTGCAAAAGATGTTTGTACCATTCATATGTTGGCATCAAAATGTAAGGTTATTACTAATTTGTACAAGTACTCAGTTTTCTAGTTAGGATTAAAAAATGTGTGCTAATATGGGACCCATTGATGAACCAACTGTGGCTTCATCCATCTGCCCAGAAATTCGGCCACGGAACATGAAATTCACATTTATAGTGCACTTTAGCAACAATTAGTTCATAACGTCAACTGTCATTGGAATTTCTACTTTTTTTTCATTTGTTCACACATATATATTTGATAATTTCTAAGAGTGGCAGGTTTGTGAATGATGTTACTTATAAAAGTATTATTGTTTGATCTGAAGTATTTGAATGTTTGATTTTATTTAGAAATTACAATACATCGCAAACACGCTGCTTATGGAGTGATTTTGGAATAGACCAAAATTAATTTCATTGGAACACTTGGTTTTTATATTTTCATTAGTCCGTATGACCTTGACAGATGAACTCCCATAGGCTTAATCGTATCGTATACGTATTCATATATCATCTACTGATCTCTAAGCTTCTTTAAAAATCTAACTGGGTCATTCTCTATTTATTTGCTGTAATATTTCCCGTCAGTTAGTTCCTGGAATTTTAATTCGTCGTTTGAGATATTATTCATTTTATTGATGCGGTCATGTTTGTCAAAAAGAACAACTAACCATTCATTCGGTTTCGTAATAATCAAATTTTGTCTTTAACAATTTTGTTGATTGTTACATTGTGCGTTTACCCGAAAATGCCTCCGTTAGAATATATATATTCATCTCAAATTTATCTATTCCTTTGGAACAATAATATCGATTTACAGTTGTAGAATTTACTGAAGATAATTCCCGATTTTCATATTTCCGTATTTGTAATAAGATGAAAAATTATTGATTATTTTAAAAATATTGGATAAATTGTAAAACATTTCAATTATATTCAACAATCAGTCACCGGATATTATATTAAATTAAACTAATGAATAAAAAATATAATTTTTGGGCTTTTACCATCTGACTTTTTCTAAATTTCCTATAGGTCTCCCTTTTGAACTTCAAACTGTTTTGGATAAATCGTATCCATGGAAATTGGGAACAGTGTTTTGTCGGTTCAGAATCTTTTTAACTGAATTATGTCCGTTAGTAAGTATACTGATCTTAACAATATTCAGCATTGAACGATATTTATCAATATGTCATCCATTTAGAAGAATTTTACGATTTTCACAGTATGATACTGGACATCCGTGTAATCGTACTTCATATATGCATAATATCAATAGTAAAGCATCTCACAGTAGTGAAAGAATATCAAAAGTAATGAATTCACAGATGAGAAACAGTACGCAAATACATTGTTCAAATGGTCAGTCACATTATAAACGTGGCCATACACCGTATATGATACAAATCAATGCTCTTAAATCATGCTTTCTATTAATTTTCTTTGTCTGGATTATTGGCAGTTGTTGTGCTATAGTAATCGCTGGATTGTCAAAAGTATTTTATGCTGTCAATTTACCTACCATTGACGCATTTATGAATAATACGTGCACTGATCATTATCACACTACAGTGATTCAATTTTATTTGACACCTGACTGTTTATTAAACAGTGAGATGTGGACACCAGGTAAAGCTTTACCCGACTCAGCAGTATGTGCACCGTCTAATGTGAGTTTTAAATAAATTTTTTCCGGAAAATAGTTTTTCTTAACTCTATTATTTAACACACACAATAATGAAGCCAATCCTTTTATTATTGATCTAGGAGTTGATGTACAATAATTTAAATGTGTATATTTCATATGTAAATTAATGCTTCTGTCAATTCGGTTTTTAATGCAAATATAAAGTCGTGTCGAAGAGCATAGTTTCGTTTCATGAATGGATAAACTTACTAGGCTATCATGGTAACGGATGATTATATATCCATTTGAACTCATAATTAGAACTGGAATGAATGATAACTGAATAATTAGTTTCGTTAACATAAAAATGGTTTAGATTTGCGAAAAACAATTTAGTTTTCTCAATTATTCTCGTAGCGAGTCAAAATTAATCAGACTATTAAACATATGTTACGTTTTAAAGCTAAAGATACTGTCATATCTGGAATAATTTCACAAAGACAGTTAGGCATACAAACATCACCAGGGTCAATTATTAATTAAAATACCATTTCAAAATAGCCACTATTGTAATAACTATGTGAAAACATCATAATTTATTTGCTGATTGAACTAAAATATGATACGTCAAGAAAATAAAGATCAACAGTCACATCATTTCAGAATACATTTATTAGGCAGTGTTATAGAAAACTTGTCTGAATGATTATTATTTAAAATAGGATTTATTTATTACTGACTCTGTATCTTATAAAACATTTATTTAGCTTATGGTAGTTCCTAGAAATGAGTTATTGAATCCAGATGTTTAGAAAAATCAGTAGTTTCTGTTTGAACTATATCTCTTCGTCTACAGCTATCTATTTATAGACTGAGTTGATTAGTTAGTGGTGATTAATGTTGTGTTGAATAGTTCATATTAATCAACTAAAATTTTTCTATGACGTTGGAATTCAATAACAATGTAAGTGGTTGCAACATGTTGTACATTATTTGACGTTGACTGGTAACATACATTTTTAAAACCAAGTTTTCTTGCTAGTTTACGTTAATTGGCAAAACGCCTTTTGTAATCTTAACAGAAATGATACTTTAAAAAGTGAAAGATTACGTGAAAAATGTAGAGATTGTTGTTTACGAGATAAGTATAAAAAAGTATTTTATTTTTATTCTGATTTTTCCTAAACAATTTTCCTTCTACGTTTTTGATATAATTTAAAGTACAAAAATTTATATATAAGCAAATTTTCTGAAAATTTCAGCCACAAATGCAGACGAACAAAGCATACTTGAACAACGTTTGATCATTAAATTAATCCACTTCAATCACATTTCAATATAATCACATCTATAGAAGAACAAATAAGTTTGCCTGTATTTAATTTAGTTCAATCTTCTCAACAAACATAGTTCATTTATACCAACACACTTCAAAGTGTTCATAATGCTTATTAAACTTCTCTTGATAAAACACCAACCTGATATCATTTACTTTAATATTCATGAATTTCTATCGTAATTTATATTTTTTTAAAAAAAACATATGTGCTTTATTTTTAAGTGATACATATTTCCTTTAGGTTAATACCTAGAGGATTAATTTTCACTAAACTTTTTAAAACTAGTTTCCAAGGACAATCAAATTATTAGATAAATGTGTAAGGTGATACTTTATTTTTCGGGAAAAAAATTAAAATTAAAATGTTAGTAACCTTATTAAGCCATTTAATTAAATGAATTGTGATTGTGATAAAAAAAATTGTTTTTAAGATAACAAAAAAAAAAGACAACACTAAAATTTGAATGGTGTCAAATAATTAGAAAAGATGAGGACTAAATTAATCACTTACTAGATTCCATTACTTAATTAAAGAAACGAAGTTGAATGGTTAAAGAGTAAGATTTAACCAAATAATTATATATTAATTAATAATGAAAAAAGAAAAGAAGAAAAAATTCAGTAAATGAGATGAAATAAGAATCGAATTATTTCACTAAATTTAAAGTGTTGTAAATCATTGTAATGAATTCTGACCTATTTTGTAAAGTAGTTGGATGAAAATGAACTTGATAATGTTACTTCTGTCTTATATGGAATTCTTTGTTTGAGGTAATTAAAACTATATTTACTGTCATTTTGCCTAAGCAGAAATTAATTTTTTCTTCAAAACAACCCCATAATTTCATTATGGTTAGTCTTAAATAAGATTAATATATTTTTAATAGTTGAATTTATGAGTCATTTGAAGCTAGACTACCATGGAAGACCTGGAAGCACTGAACGGTGGGGCAACTTCTTAGATTGGTTGAAGTTAGACATTAACACCGTTGGATGCTGGCCGACTCAGTGGTTTAGAATTTAGGCGTTCGCGCGCGAAACTGATAGGTTTTGGGTTCGTATCTTGCGAGGCAGGATTGTGAATGCGCACTGCTAAAGAGTCCCATAATTGGACGAAACGTCCGTCCAGTGTTTCCAGGTTTTCCATGGTGGTTTTGCTTTAATTTACTCGTGAATTAAAATATTGAATTACTAAAATATCCACAAAACCCTTTTCTGAATAATATATAACAGCGGTTTGTGCGTACCAGATATTCATAGATTTATGTTGTCAGCTAAGATTTCTCTGCAAGGTTACAAAAACATCAAACTTTGTTTTATATTGTGCTAATCTCTCAGTACAATGCAATTTTTGTCTGCATATTATATAATTATGAAACAATATTGAAACAAGACAAATGATTGTAAGGCAAATGTACTCACTAAAGAAAAGGTAAAATGACCGGAAACGGGATATTGTTCTGAATAGTCTCAAGAAAATGGAAACCGTTACTATATACAACACTAAAGTAATCAATATACAATTTTTGGTCAGTAATAAGACGTTGAACACTTGAACAAGATGTGTCAAAAATATTTATATCTTCATAAATTCAGTATGGTCAGAAACTTGACAGGTCTTACTTTAATTTCTATCCAGAAAAACTCTGAAGAAGTAGCTTACATTAAGTCACGAAAAGTCAGAAATATAACTTTTCTATTTATTGGGACTTAACAAAAATATATTTATTATAAATCGTGAAAGTATATTTGATGACAGAAAATAAAGACAAATCATTACACATTGAGATTAATAGATTTGATTTTTCAAGGTCTTGAGTGTGATCTGGCAATTAACCTCAAGTTCGGTCACAACAAATGCTCATCAAAAACGTTTAAAATCCATACATTTTGTTGAATCAGCAACTTTAAAAACTTAGCAAAGCCACTTTTTAATATTAGCGATATTGACATCCCACTGGAGTGTGCTAGGGAATATTACCGTCTAATTCGGTTATCTGACATGAAACCATTGTGTGTATCTAACTAATCATGTCACATGATCATTGTGTACCATAAACATGCAAACGTTTTTCATAGACTATTTGTGTTCGTTTGACTTGTAGTTAACATAATTAACTGGTTGTTTTTATTAAACTCAGTCATCGAAGTGTACTACAAAAGGAAAGTACAGGGTCCAAAATTGCTTTACTGTTGACGAAATGGAGATAAGACAATTTGAGATTTCCGATTATCATCATTTTAGCGATAACACAAGATATATCTTGAACGTACTTTATCAAACGCAATAACTTTCAGTCAATAAAAATGTCAGTAAAAGATTTTTGAGATTGTTGAATTTCCTTGGAATCATGAACCAGTCAATGTTAGACTACCATAGCAAACCTGTAAACACTGGACAGCCATTTCATCATAGTATAGGACTCCTCAATAGTGAGCATCCACAATCCCGCACGCAGAAATTGAATTCACTACCTTCAGTTTCGCGCAAACGTTTCATCTCTAAACTACTGAGCTGGTGTCCAATGATGTTAAAAATGCTTTTACGAACTGATTGTTTAGCAATAGAACACAGTTTCAGCAAAAGCTTCACTTGCCATAAAAACATACAAATCGAGATTCAGTATCTATACATCAGTCGATGCAAACGGTTGTAATCTTTTCAAGATATAAATTGCTTACAAATTGTGAATGACATTCTAAGCATGAAAACTGAATTAAAATAGTCACGTTTTCTTTACATAAATTCATGACGAATTTATGCATTGCTATCATCTGATCGAACATTTCAAACTATATTTTGTATTAAAAAAGTGTTTCACCAAAGCAAGATTTCCTGACGATTTTATTTTTTAAATATGTACAGTCGTATTGTATGAAATAACTGATACGATGATGGGTTTATTTGTTAGTAAGTACGTTTATCATTGGCATTGGCACATTGTATTTCATACGAGTGGATAAAACGTATAAAATCAATCGTTACGCTGACTTAAAAGCAAAAGTACCATGTATCACTGAAGATCATATGGACAAATGAGGAGTGAAAAATTAAGCAGGTAAATAAGGGTGATTGTAAGTAGTGAGAGTAGGATATGACTGATGGTTGTAAGATAATACTGGCTAGAGAATGAATGAAATTCGAGAATTTTAGTTGCTAGAATTAGTTTGACTAGAGAAGATAAGATTACTTTTAATTTAAAGGCGTAAAAAACCAAAAATAAAGAAGTTGAAAAGAAATAACCAAAATATAAAGGTAGATAGAACTATGGAGGTGAAAACGTTTTATTTCTACGTAGATCTGCCTTCAGACTTTATATATCTAACGCTATGTAGTTTTTTAAGCATCGCCACTTGAAGGTAGCTAGAGTGTTTTATGGGGGATTTTTATCTAGCTCTCTGAACAGATATCTCTACTAATAATCAAAAAATAGATCACACCGATATTTAATAAGCCTTTTTTAATCTGTAATTCTGTTACTTGTTTATTATTTCTAACGAGTAACTATTTTAAACTTCTATTGCACTTACTATTACTCTTTATAACGATTGTGCCAAAATATTTCCGTTTTAAATTGTTAATTAAATTTTATCGTATTTCACATATCAGGATTCAAAATGGTCTGCATATCTCAGTATTCCAGTCGTTTTACAATTATGGACATTTTTATTCTTTTTTACTCCAATGGTTATTATGTCTGTTTTGTATGGATTAATGGCGATACAATTAAGCCATTCAAATCTCGGTCTTCGTGCACAGAGTAAGTCCAAACACGGAAAGGGTAAATCATCTTCATGCAGCATTTCCAAAACTCGTTCATCAGGAAATTGTCGAAGAGGTATTGTTAGAATGTTAGGTAAGTCGTTGAGAAATTACATATGTAGTATCATTTTAGGCTACGAAGTAATAAGACAATTATAGATTTTGTTGATAATTGTTATACTAGGAAATATTTTCGATTCAAGCACAAAAGGTTTGTTCAGTTGATTAATCTATAAGTTGCTGAAACTAAAATTTATGCATCACAGTTAGTACTCAGAGAACCCATGAAGTAGCTGAAAAGGCACTTAGGAGATATAATGTCCAATCCTTAAAATACAGTCAAACGAATGAGGAAAACAAAGTAAAATAAGCCGATAAAACAATAGATACGAAGACACTATAAGAAAATGGTAAGGCTATCACAAAGGCATACATTTGCATAAAATTAAACATTTATTACATTCCCTGGAATATTTATAGTTTTTCGCTTATCTTTGAAGTACTCACCTAATATATAACTTACGCCTAGTTTAAAAAATTGTAAATATTAAGCAATGGGTAAAGCTAAGGTTATTGGCCAATTAAAAATTGTTTGTAGGAAATGAGTTTGAGAGAACAAATTGAACTATCCAGTGATTTTCAATGAACGGTTATTTTATTAGTCTTGGTCTTCAAAAACACTCATTAACATAGATTTATTGTTTATCAAAATTCATGATACACGGATATCCACGATATTCATACACCTGACTTTATAGTCTGTATATGTTAGATCGTGTAAATGTTAATCACTCTTGCTGTAGATGAATAGGGACACTGGTCATGCTAAGATAAAGCAAAGATAAATTTACTTGTGACTTATGATTATATCATATGTAAATGTAACATAATGTTTTGTAGGTGAGGGAGATCTCTGAAATCAGAAATATCAGCTTCTAAAAGATATTTCCTGAAATAATTTATTGTGTATGTATCCAGAGAGTTCTGAACATAGTGGCCAGTATGATCGAGGAGTTAATTTGAACTTCATGATGGCCGCTAGTAGATATTTATACCTAAACATAGGAACATACTGGCCTACTGCATATTGTTTAGATAATTTCCATATCTACACTTAGATTCTTTTTCCGTCTTTAATATTGTTTTAAGCGCTATGAAATTTATTCGGCTTCTAAGGCTCATAACTGACAGTTTGATTGGATGTTTCATAGACTTCTGGCTAACGATTGACTAATCACTGTGACCATTTTTATATATGTCAAGTCCTTCTTAATGATGATGAGATTCTACTGAACAAATTGCAATACATCCACTGTATTGAGATCTTATGTGGTTGGAGGTGGTTGACTAGAAACCCTGAACCTAGGTTCCATGCTATTTGACACTTGTCACTAAGACGTATATGTGAAAGGAAAGTCAACCACGATCTGAAAAGCGCAACTATAGTGTCTCGAAACATCAAGTTGGATAACGCGGGATCGAATCCTCAAGGGAGTACCAGTTACCTCAATATTATAGGTATATCTTGCTAATGATCGTAATAACGCTTATGACCTAGGTCGAATGTTTTCTTGTCGGCTACCTTCAACCACCTGATATATCAACATAATGCATTTCAAATCAATTACATTAGTGGCCACATTTCGAAATGATCAACAGAACTCAATCACCAATCTCATACAATACCGATACCGAGTCATTTTTATGAATTAAGTTGGAAAGTCTCAGTCATACAGGCCTTAGTTTCAATATATTAGTGATTTGGTGTATATGGTTATGTCATCAAAAACTAGCACAAAATTGATTAGTATTATCATATTTATAGTAAACTGTTTGGTGTTGGGGATATTCTCTAAATTCAGACAACACAGAACTAACATCCTCAACCTGAAACATAAATGTTCATCATCTCAAAATCGTCAGATGTTCGGCTACAAAAATGTTGGATGTTTTCAATTTCTGTACCTCTGTTACACATGCATTTGACAGAAATTAAATTTGTAGGATTCTTATTACACAGATTACTAACCGTATAACAAACTTGATAAAGCGAGTGGTACTTATATTATGTATGTTTTCAGATATGAATGCTCCTTGTAGGGTAGATGAAGGTAGTATGGTTATTATTTAGCGGCGAAAAATTATCAACAGTTTTATTGTGTCATTCACAAATATTTTATTGATGTTATTTTCGTATTGTCCTATTTATAAGCTTTTATATAACTCATTTACTTTTGATATCAGTTTAACCATTCATAAATTTTCACAGTTGAAATAACGAGTTTATCTAAGCTAGACTACAACTGAAAATAAAAAAACACAGGATGGCCGTTTTTTCCTAGTATGGGACTTCTCAGCAGTGTGCATCCACGGTCCCTCATGACCCGCTCGAACCTAAGACCCCCGTTGGTGGGTACTTCTGGGGAGTCCCATAATAGAATAAAATGGCCGCTCAGTTCTTCCAAGTTTTCAATAGTGGTCTAGCTCAGATCAACTCACGATTTCAACTGTGAAAATACTACAATCACCACAGATCCCTCATACATTTATAAATGACCGTTAATTAATTATGTGCTTATTGCTTAGCTTTTGGTGCACTGAAAATTACGATTTGTATTGCCTTATAGTCGGGTAATTAGCATGTATAATGTTGTGTTTTTTCGGGTTTATGCAGGAAAAGGAATATCAACTTATTGTCTTTGTTCTTTGACTGGCTATTGGAGTTGGAAGGAATTGGAGTGAACAAGTAGAAATAAAGATATTTTTGTCATTTGTGACGGGCAATTATTTATTGGTTAAATTAAAGGTCACCGGTCAAACAGGTATTAGCGAACTTAAAGTTAGTGAACTCTATTATCGCACGATACAATCAACTGGACTTATAAATTATTAAAGGTCATAATAGTATGATATTTGCTAATGAACTTTGAGGTATCCCTTACATTAAAATGAGAATCTTTTTATTAGTTTAGCAAGAATAATGATCATGGAAATTTCTCAAGCTTCCATAAACATTTTTGTTTTCAGTGGCTGTAGTGGTAGCTTTTTTCATTTGTTGGGCCCCATTTCATCTACAACGTGTTCTTACTTCTGCAAATGTCCAAATGACATGGTTTTTGATTGATTTCTTGTTCTATGTGTCCGGTAAGAAAACATTTATTTACATAATTAGATCACAAATCTTTTTCACCTTAAGTAAACATTTATTATTTATTATATGTGATTAGTTTTAGACTTCTGTCTGATATTCAACAACAGCTATAAATTAGACCTTAAATAAGCATAAACTGATGAATATACATTATTTAGTGAATGACTGGAGACAACGAAGTACTTGGTGGTGACCAAATGTATTAGATTCAGAGATCCAACATTTGTTCTCTTTGAGTGTGATGATACATTGGTGAAATATATATATTCGTTTCTTATAAAACCTAGCCACAAACGCTACATTTTCTTTAGAATTTCAAGTGGTTTCCTGGCCGATCACATGGACTTATTATTTGACTGGCTTCTGGTTGACATAATGTATCAATAATTGTTTATTAACATACTTCGCATCCAGAAAAGTCAAGTTCGTGGTAACTAAAATTTAGACATTTTAAGTTCAAAGAATTTGGATAAAAGCTTTGCTTTATAAGCGAACAAATAATTTTACAATTTGAAGGCAAGTTATTTGAACCAAAAATCAGTGGAGTTATTTATGAGTCTAATATCAACTTATACAGTAAAATATTTCGATTTCCGTTTTTATTATTAATCATACTTAGGCATTAGTAAATTAATCACATTTTTCTTACCTTTTCAGGATTTCTTTATTATATGAGCGCAACAGTAAATCCGATTCTGTATAGCTTGATGTCTGCTAGATTTCGACGTGCATTTATATCTACATTTAGAATAAAACAGACAAGAGCAGAAGATGTGTCATATATCCATCCGATAGTTTCGGTAAGGATTGTTAAAATTAATAAACGTGAACAAAATATTTGTTCATTGAAAGATGATAAACAATCTACAATCCAATGAACTTTTCTGTTGCAACAGTGTAACACTGAATATATGTGTTTTAATAATTTGATGAACAAAACTAATGAGACAAAAATTATAGAATAAAAGTATTGTATATGTAGAACAATATCATCAAGTTTTATAAACTGTCGTGCATACTTCTCTCACTGGGTTCAATAAAATATGTTACTGATGTACTTATTTTTTTAAATGTTGCTCATCCACTTCCTATACCGTTTAGTAATTTATACTGTCCTATTTAGTTCTTTTGATTATATGAAATACAAAACAAAAAATCGGTTGATATTATGATAGATATTATTTGCTTATAGGAGATAGATATGTGGGATTTTAAAGAAAATTACTCAGTAAATATTAATGATAAATGTCTTGAATGTTACAGATGACGACTACTCAAAACCCAAACTTAGGATAAGGATGTAGTTACTAGTAATAATACTACAATCAAGAAAGTATTCATTCACAAATCAGTGCTATACAGGTAGTATTCAGTTTATCTGATTGTAGTGTCATCATAGTTTTTCTGCATATCTAGAAATTTTGGAAGCATCTAAAACAAAATACGATATTAAGAAAGTTGTCCCTATAGTCTTTTCAACAGTCAATAGCTACTTAGTAATAAAAAAGTAAAATTAGGGCAAGGTACAGAAATTTGACACGTGCTTTATTTACTTGCACAATATTGATGCAAAATATTGAAGATAAGAGCTTTTAATGTAAACGACGTATACCTGTAAAAATGTCTTTAAAACTATTTATAAAATTCAATTATATTTGGACATCACCATTATAGTATGATATCAATTTAGACGATTTTGATATTCTTGGTGAATTTCATGTAAGGTGCATAAACTGAAACAAAGTAGTTTCAGATGATGGAATTGGTTAAAAAAAGTACTAGGGAAGAGCTTGTTTATTTTTAGAAAATATATTTAATTTTATCCAAAACTGCTAACAACTGTTGCACTGTAAAATAAATCTGCTTTTTAATTTAATTATTTTGTACACATTTTAAGACGTTGATAGCTAAGATGATTTAAAATAAAATGACATTTTTGTTCTGTATCATCCTTGTTGTTATTTCTAGTAAGAACTTTTCACGGTAACCTACTGAACTGGTTGATTTATTCCACACGATTCAAAAGATGATACTTTCTATGCTTAAGAAATGGGTTATGTATGCACAAATATAATGTTGATGAGGTAAAACTTAACATAAACCGTGAAATATTTTCTACTTTTAGTTCTATCTTAATTATTTAGAAGTCACTAATCAGAAGTCAAATCAGTAATTAGAAAAAGCAGAAATTCGGCTATTGATGAATACAACAAAAAATCTGGCGACAACGTTGAGTTTATCGGAAATGAATGGTACGACGAATGTAAAACAAAATTTCACTTCTAAATGATGTAACGATATGTTTAAAATCACTGAGTTTGTAGCTTTTGCAACAGTATATGTGTTATCACCAAGCATAAGTAAAGAAATGAGGCAACGAATTTAAAACAAAGTGGTGGTAAATTAGCACCGTAACAAAAGCTTTTCTTTACGAGTTCTAGTCGTTTTGCGATCTTGGCTAAGTGGTATCAAAACAGCTCTATAGGAAATGGACCAATCGTTTTATCCCTTATAGACCATTACTATTAAATTTTGTTTTAAACCGAGACTTTCCATGTTTACTTTATTCCATTTTATACTATGATATCTCATCTCATTGTCTTCGGTATTCAGCTTTCCATTATTGACATTGACACTTCTTGATAAGCTAGAGTAACAATGTTCGGCACTAAATACGAACCAGTATTGGGTTGTTTAAAGGTTTGCGTCTAGTTTGAATGTACTTTGGGTAGCAGGTAAGTATGCGGAGTAGCTTGTATGGAGAAAGACCGCAAAGGGGAACATCAGGGAAAACTTGAATTTAGGACTTGATACACGCACAGAACGCATTCGCATTTACAAAGGATAGCAACAGCCCAAGCTTTAGGTTGAGACATTCTGGTAATTGGAACTAGGAGGTAGGGTAAAGTTTTAAACCATCTTCCTTTGTAATTCGGATTAAGCGCGCAATATTGTGAATAGCGATTATCAAATCACACAGATATTATGTTCTCTACGACTTAAATGGGAGTTTGCGTTTATGCAGTTCATCATTCTTTCTCTACGCAGGTTCGCTGGATGCGTATTAGACTCTTTGTCGAGGTTAGTTATCATCTTATCTTCAAAAGGTTTCTTGACAATGGTTTTGATAACAGAAGTTGGAACGACCTCGCCTGTGTACTGGAAGCGTATGTGGTTGACACAAATGTTTTTTTATAAGCCTAGATCACTAGTTTTCAGTACTGATGTTCCAGACCTCTCGGCATTTTGAATATAATCATCTCTTTTAATTATTTTGATATTCTGTTGTCACAGAATGTTTAGCACTTCCGTCTTGCACCAGGACTAGATCCACATTTTTCTCCTGTTCATTGAAATTTGAAGGCCCAGAGTTTCCTTCTCTGCAAAGTAATCGAGTAGAAATCTTTCCACTATCAATTGGAAGTAATTAAGTTCATAAACAATCCTTTTAAAATTTTTTCAGTAGCAATAAAGAAATCGGTGATTGAAGGTTTCGTGGATTTTTTAATTCAACTATCAATAATTTATTTTGAATAACCAGAAATCCACATTCCATCAATATGGCCTTTTGGTCTTTAACAGGTAAAACGCGACACTCAAGGAAAGAAAATTTGTTGCTGGTTATACTCAAAATAAAAGTATTAGTAATCTGAGTTACAAATTAACTTGAAATTCCTTCCTGAAATATAAGTTTTGACACTTTCATTTCAACGATGGAACTACGCCTGGAGTCCTCGTAGTATACTTTATCTAGATGAATGACGATGAGCGAATCAATTAAGGGTTAGAATACATTATTGATAAACACTCAAATTGTTCTAGGACTGAGTCAACATAACTGGATAGAAATAATAGTAATAATGGAGTAACACCAGGATTAGACCTCTATGTAAATGAATTGGGTTAATACTGACACTGGAACTTTGAAGTACCAGCAATCTTATTAGAATAGATGTAGTAATCACGATAACTCCGCTTGTAGCTCTTCCAGAGTTACTTCCGTTTCCAAAACCGGATAAAGTAGGAGAGTTAGTCGTGAGGTCAGTAACCCCATCCCGCAGAAAACAACCTTACTCAAAAACACTAACCAGAATAAACAAATTAAACCGTTTAAACTCTGTCCTTCGGGTTGAAGTAAGAATTATGACGCCTCGTGATAAAAGCCGAGTTTCGTCTCAAGTCACGCGGTCGATGCTCTTTCTAACAACAACAGTTAATATAACCATAGCAAAATCATCAGGAAAGCAAGTGACCATCCTTATGAGTGACCTGAACGCCAAATTCGGAATGGACAAAAGTGGATATATAGATATCATGGGACTACAAGAACTAAGAGAAACGAACGAGAATAGCAAGAGACTAGTAAATCTATGTGCATTCAACAAATTGGTTATATGCAGCACAATATTCCCACACAAACTCATACACAAAGCTACATGGATCTCACAGGACCATACCACAGAGAACCAGATGCATCATATTTGCATCAGTAAAAAATTCCGAAGTACAATTGAAAATATGAGAACCAGAAGAGGAGCTGATATAGCTTCAGATCACCACCTGGTGGTGGTGAAGATGAAACTGAAGTTAAAGAAACACTGGACAATTGTGGGAACAGCGTTACAAAGGTTGAATACAGCCTTCCTTGGAGATACTAACAAACTCATCTCATTCAAGATAGCTCTCAACAACAGGTTCCAAGCCTTACAAGATCTACCTAAGAAAGAAGAAACTACTATGGAGGACAACTGGAAAGGGATCAGAGAAGTACTAACTTCAACGTGTCGGGAGGTTCTGGGCCTCAAGAAGCATCATCACAAGGAATGGACCTCTATGAAAATCCTGAACAAGACTCAAGAAAGGAAAACCAAGAAGATAGCCATTGGCAACAGCCGAACAAGAATAGAGAAAGTCGAGACACAACTGAATACACTGAAGCAAACAAGGAAGTGAAGAATAGTATTAGTGCTGACATGCAGAAATACGAGGAAGTTCCGGCAGCGACAATGGACAACGCTGCAAGAGAAGGAAATGTGAAACAGCTATATGACACGACGAAGAAACTGGCTGGGAAATATGGTAAACCAGAGAGACCTGTGAAGGACAAATAAGGCAAGACAAACACTGAAAGGACAGAGGAACAGATGGGTAGAGTACTTTGAGGAACTCTTGAATAAAACAGCCCCACTCAACCCATCAGACATCGAGACAGCGCATACAGACTTTCCTATAGATGTCACCCCACAAACAATCGAAAAGATCAGGATGGCCATCAGACAAATAATAAGTGGTGAAGCGGCAGGACCTGACAATATACCAGTTAAAGCACTGATGTCAGATAAAAAGGCAACTGCAAACATTATCTACGTTCTATTTAGGAAATTTTGGAAGGAAGGACATCTCATCAAGATGCCAAAGAAAGGATATTTCAGCAAATGTGAGAACTACATAAGCGTCATACTTTTATCGATGCCAGGGAAAGTTTCCAAAAGTGTTGCTGAGTCGGATGAAATATTCAGTAGACTTTTAGCTTCGAGACCAACAGGCTGGATTCCGTAAGATAGGTCGTGCACATACCAAATCACAAAACTATGGATCATCGTTGAACAATCGGTTAAATGGAACTGGACACTATGCATCAGCTTCCTTGACTATGAGAGGCGTCTGACAGCGTGGACAGCAGAACTTTTGGAATTTTCCGGACACTATGGAGTTCCTGAGAATTTCGTCAACATTATCCGTAACTTGTACGACGGACTACAGTGCAAAGTCGTGCATGAAGGACAGCTCACAAATGCGTTCCAAGTGAGGACCAGAATCAGACGAGACTGTCTACTCTCCCTCTTTCTCCTTTTTCTGGTGGTTGGCTGGATTATGAAGACCTTGACATATGAGGGGAAGTACGAAATCCAATGGACAGCTTTGATGCCACTAGATGATTCGGACTTCGCAGACAACCTGGCCCATTTGTCTCATGTACAAGAACAGGTGTAAATGACGACAACTAGTGTAGCAGCAGCCTCTGGATCTGTAGGCGTCGACATACACAAAG